AAACGCTGCCTCTGTCGTCGCTCGCGCCTCCCGCTGCTCGCCGCTCCTGCTCCCACTGCCGCTGCTCGTCGCTCCTGCTCCCACTGTCGCTGCTCGCCGCTGTCGCTGCTTGCAAACGCTGCCTCTGTCACCGCTCGCGCCTCTCGTTGCTCGCCGCTCCTGCTCCCACTACCGCTGCTCGTCGCTGTCGTCGCTCGCGCCTCCCGCTGCTCGTCGCTTCTGCTCCCTTTCCCGCTGTCGCTACCGTTGCTCGCCGCTGTGCTGTCGCCGCTCGCCGCTGCGCTGTCGCCGCTCGCCGCTGCGCTATCGCCGCTCGCCGCTGCTTCCTCATTTCTCAGTCAGCAGGCTCAGTATACAGTATACTATTAATATTAAGTTTATTTGAAATGATTAATTTTAAATACTGTTAATAGATTTTCTTAATTTAATAGCATATTTTTATTTAAAATTTTAAATAATTATATTTATTAATTATATTATATATTTTTATATTTTAGCGTCTCGCTTCGCTTAGGCGAGCGCCTGGGCGAGCGCCTAGCGCCTCGGGCGTTTTTGGACCTTGGCGCCTTTTGGCGCCTAGCGCTTTTTAAATCACTGAATAAGACTATCATCAGTAATAACATACATCGGGGAGGTGTATTATGTAAATGACTAGTAAATTTATTCATTATCAATGTGTAAAGGTAGTGACTTAATGCGGATCCTTGATGTAATCCTTTGCTAATAGGAACTCACCTGACATTCCCTAACATTCCCTATAATTCTAACACTAGTAGCTATACTACCATAAATATCCTTAATAATATTAATATAATTAGTGAATACATCTTTTCTAAAACTCACTATAACAAACCTCTAGGAACTCTATCATCGGTTTTCTCTAAGTCAATAAAAACCATATGCAAATCTTTTTTTTTTCTCCCTATAGTTTTCCATTATTTGTTTTAATAAATGGCATGCATCTAGTCAATAAACCATACTTTATCTCCCTACAGCTGTCATGTATTCTAAGAATTGAAATAGATCTGTTGCATGGTTATGTAACATACCACTATAACTGTCAAGTATTCAGATTTTTTTGAAGAAATTCTGTATCTAGTAGTTGCTTTTCCATCATCAGACATAAAACTATAGGAGGCAACATATGTTTAATATCTTGCTTATTCTAAATTCTAATGTTGGCAGGATCAGCTCAATGCCGGTGCTGAAAACAGGGAAGAATCTGAGAAGGAGATCCTTGAGATTAATGCGAAGGGAGCTATAATTTTTGTTATAGCAGCATCAGTTTTTCTCTTGCTTCTTTTCTATTTTATGTCATCTTGGTTCATTTGGCTGCTGATCGTATTGTTCTGTATTGGTGGTACAGAGGTAAATTGTTGTTTTAGGTTTTGATTTATGTGTTTTAAATCTCTATACAGTTTATGGTTATTCCCCTTTGTTTAAATCTGAAACTTATGACTGTTTGTGTTCATTGACTATTTTATTGTTCAGCAAGAAGGATTATTTAATCTTTATTGAATTGGACATATGGAACTGAGTTATAAAGTTGAACTTTCAGATGAATTTTTTATTTTATTGGTTTCGTTGTTCCAGAAAAGGCTATGATGTCCACCATGGCATCTTCAGCATGAAGGACACAAGCCATATTATATTAGTGTTGGCCTATTTTGGGTTCATAGTTGGTCCATTAGCAGGCCCCAGGTGACAATGGGATCTAGTATGGGCATGTGTTGTGTTAGCAGTTTAAACTTCTATCACTTTGTAACATGAGTTCGCATCTGATGGATGACTTGCAAGTAGCTTGTGCCAATTAATAGCTTTGAAGTGATTTTTCAAAATCTTCAATGGATGGTTTTATTAGCTTTTAGTTTCCTATCATCTCAACCATACATAAGGTAATTGGTTTTTCGTTATTAAGATATATCATAAAATGTTTGGAAGGACTTTTACAAGAAATAAATGATGTATCTGAATATTTTGGCCTTCACTATTACTGCATATAAGACAACTGGCTCTGTTGTCCTCTTAATTTATGAAGAGAGGTCTACAAATTTGCATACAGAATTCAGTTATATTCCTCGAAACCAATGGACTTTTTGCATGTCAAGTTGGCTTTAGAATGCCAACCTAATAAAGTTGGTAATATCTTTCTTCAATGATCAACTTCTTTATTGCACCTCATCCTAGGGAGATGAGTCTATACATAAACAATAAAATTTATATTATTATACCATATGATAAAAGTGGTTTCAACTCTTAAGAAGAGGAATTGATAACTGCATGATAGATCAACTTGAATAGAATGATAAGAGACTTGGATAAGGTAGGCAGATAGTGGCGGTCTAATTATACAACATTATGCTGTTAAAAATGTCTCATGAAGTTAGGAATTGATATCTTTAATCATATTTCTTATTGCAAATTCTTTTCCCTCTTGCATAAGGAAGTCTTGCCCTTGAATTTAGTCAACATCATTATTGTTCTGATTTTCTGGACTTTAGGTAACCATTGAGTTCCATTCTAGATCAATCAAGATTCCTGTTATTGGAAGGTGTTGCCCATCTTTTGCGATACTTCTTTCTGCAATGCAAAGCCTCAAACCAAAAGTCAGCACATTTTCACATTATACCTACACCTTAGGATGAATAAAACTGAGTTGAACCAATTCATTCTAAGCCGATTTGCAATTATTACCTGACAGCTCCTAGCACACTAAGCTGAGTTGTGACTGAAACTAATCAACTGATCTGGTGTTGTCGACCTTAAGACACTCTTTGCTCCTTCAATGTCTCCTTGCAGTGTTCCTTCAACAACTCCAGTTGATGCCTTACACCTGTCACCAATTGTAGCCTGCATGTTTGATGCTGTCTTTTGGCAACAAGATAGCACATGAAGATATCCCCCGACGGCAATAGATCATATATAACATATATACGTGAGAGAGAGATGTTCAGTTTTAAGGTTACCTTTCTCCGTTAAGAATGGCAAAAGTTGACCAATGAATGGCCCATTGGGTTCATTTTCTTCTCATGTATGTGTGTATGTTTCGGTACCATCGCCACGCCACTGCATGCTAAGCATTTGCAATTGGCATGCTGGCACATGGTGTTCTGGTGGCTAGCAAGATTGCTTGGTTGTGCTTGTGAGTTGTGACATCTAAATACTAGTTGTGAGGTACATTTTACTAACCATTACCTCCATGACAATGGGAGACACAAGACAGGTGAAAAATGTTATCTGCAGATCTAATCATATGAACCCTATGTGCCTAATTTAAAATGCTAACTGTCATGAATGCTGGCATTTGCTTGGCCTAGTGAACCTCCGGACCTGTTGACAGAACTCCTTTATGTCTTTCTATGTGATTGAGGCAATAGATTGTCTGGTTGTATCCTATATTCTCATCGTGATTCTTATCCTACATGGAGTATTGTCATTATGGAAACCTATAGCTACTGGCAAATTATCAGTGTTTCCTGCATGTCATCATGGTACTTTTTTCCTGCATCCTGTTGTCAGTTCCTTCTCCTGACTATTACAAACTGTTGTTAATATTGGAAGTTATTATCAGTTTTGGATTCTTTATATCTCCTAGTGGATTATCTTTAAACTATCAAAGAATCTTTCTTTTGATGTGCTTTATAGTTTATACGTACTTACTAAAAGGCTTTCTTTTACAGGGTATGCATGTTTGTTCAGTGACTCTGATATCAAGGTAAAACATCTAGTTGGTTGTGATGTAATCTGGCTATCTCTTTCCATCTTACTGCATTTCACTTGTTGATTATATTAAATTACTTTCTAATTCTGCTTGATTAATCATATTATGTTCTACATATAGGTTTTGCAAAGACTGTGGACAGAAGACTGTAAATCTTCCCATTATTGGCGAGGTCTTGATCCTTTCAGTCGTAGTACTGCCATTTTGTGCTGCTTTTGCCATTCTGTGGGCTGCAAATCAGCATGCTTCATATTCTTGGATTGGACAAGATATTCTTGTAAGAGACATTTACCCGACCACGAGTTCTTTCTGCTAATCTGTCTTTTGGTTTTAATATTAGCTGATATATCTTTTATAAGGCATGGTAGGAAATTCTGCAAATCAGCCTATAGTTTAAATCATATAATAAAAATTCAAATAAATCTCCATCTATTTATTTCCATTCTTCATTCATCTGATTAGTGGCTTCTTAATTTTGTTTTATCAGGCTAGTACTATCACATTCTTTATTTTCTAAAACTAATTTTTGGAGGCTTACTGCTTTCTTAAATGTATATCCAATCTACCATTTAGATATTTTCTTCTCAGCTATGTCATAATGATCTGCATTTATTATGTACCTTGTATCCTACTGAATACTAATTATGTTACTGACAAGCAGTATAAGATGATATGTGCTTTCTACTAGTGCTTGGCTCAAGCCCATCATGATCAATAGCTGCAAAAAACAACCAATTACACTTTTCAATGCTGCATACGTGTTATCATATAATTGGTAGACATAAATGCACATTTAAGTCTGGGTTATATGATTGCCATTCATTTCTTCAGCTAAAAGTAGACTTTGATGCTGCAATTCAAGACATATTGATGAAGCTTAACCTTTAGTTTCAATGAAAAGTGGACAATTTATCATGGTACATCTTTTCTTATATAGAACATTGGGTCAGCTTGTCTGTGGTGCAATAAGAAAGATGGACCTGAAAGAATGAATGGAGTATGTCTAATAGAAATCTTGACTTCACAAGGTCCTTCTAGTCGTCCTGTCAGTAACTAATTCAGATTTCCAGGCTTCTCTGTGTCAAAGCTATTTCAAACACTCCTGAGTCAGCTCTTGTGAATTGTCTTTTTTTAGCCCTTCGTACACATATAGAACATTGATAGTGGCAGTCATAGTTGTGGTAATTCAACTGTCAGTTTAAGGTGATTGTTTCTTTCATGTGTTAGTAAAGCAGAAGGTATCAGCCTAACATTACAATAGACACAGCTAAGATTTTTGAACAAGTAAAATTATAGTAACTTGCATAATAACGATTTGATGGACATATCATCAGTAGTTATCTGGCTTCAAATATTCCCTCTTGAACTAGAGGGCCCATAATAAATGGATTTTCCTACTTGAACTTATATGATACCTAGAGTTCTAGGTACTTTATTGCCATCATTTTTGACTAGTTCTTCATTTTTCCTAGTAATGCCTCATTTTATGTTATATACTGCAAGTTATTATTCAATCCTATTTCATCTAATGCACACTCTTTGGTTTATTATAGGGCATCTGTCTGATGATTACAGTTTTGCAAATGGTTCGGTTACCCAACATTAAAGTAAGTATTTTACCAGTGGGCTCATTTTCAAGAACTGGTTTATATAATGTTTGCGGCAACGACTACTCATGACCCATGTGACATTTCATGTTCTTAGGTTGCATCAGCTCTTCTTAGCTGCGCTTTTGTGTATGACGTATTCTGGGTGTTCATATCACCGCTTATATTCCATGAAAGCGTCATGATTGCCGTAAGTCAAATGGATGGTCCTATGTTTTGTGTTAACTTTCTCTTTAAATTCCTTAGATTTTCATTGTATTGTTGCTATAATGAGATTAGTGATGTTGCCCAAGAAGTAGCAGTATTTGTTGTTAATTGCTACTGTCGACTATTGAAATTTTTGCACCTTGGATACTTGTGTAGGAGAAAATTTTGCACTATCTGCATTGATAAAATGTATCTGAATTGCACCGACAGTTTTGTTCTTGGTTAGCTGATCATCTTTGTTATATGTTCACATAAATTCTTACCTAGAAATATTTGTGTTTATATATTTTCTTATCGGTAAAATGTTTATTCTCGATAAACAATATTTTGTTCCTAAAGACGTGAGATCATGCTTATAGTGATGAATTGCAAGCTTAGCTTATTTGCTTGATTCCAGTGATAATAGAAAATATTATAACTGGTTTAGATAAAGTTGTGATGAATTAGTTATTTGAAAGAAAAACATCCTTAGAAGGCTCTTTACTGCATTCCTTTTCTTGTTTCTTTTCCTTCTCTCATTTTTATTTTCTTTTCCTTTTTCCTTATAACAACATCCTTGTTTCTTTACCGCTTCCTTATTTAGCCTTATGCTGGAGCTCACTTCCTACACACAGAAATTTGATTGAATTTTCAGGTTTAGCTCAAATAGGGAGCCTGCTTGCTACAGTAAGTTTGGTAAAAGAAGGGTTAATAGCTGCAACTTTTGTCGAAACAATAAAAAGATTGGCACAAATAACTCACTTTTAGGAGGAGCCTCCCATCAACATGGTGGCATCAATCAAGAGTACTGGGCATTAGAGTACTGGGAGATGAAAATATTAAGAGTATCGATGATGAGGATATTAAAAGTAGCGTCCAGTCAACAAGGTGACATCAATCAACAACTTCAGGGTATTCGAGTACTGGGAGATGAAAATATTAAGAGTATCCATGATGAGGATGTTAAGACAGATGGTTAATTTGAAATTAAACTAATGAAAAATATTGCATGTGGCTTGTGTTCTGGGGAAAGCTTGTGTAGCATCAACTCTGGGGAAAGTTTGTGTTCTGTGGATATGATGTATTAGTATTAAAAAACAAATCTTTTCTAAGTTGGAGTGGTCATAATGCAAAGTGGAATTTCAAAGACGATTTGAACAAATGTAGTAAATAAATAATCATTGCTTTCAAAGTATCGAAATAAGATGCCGTAACATAGAAGGACTAAGACTTAAGATATTGTTGCTTTGGTATGTGTTAGAAGATTATTATGTCCAAAAGGCTGCATTCTATTTTAGTATTTCTATAGTCATGAAAAAAAGGGCATCTTATTCAAGATCATACTGATGTGAACAAAGTAAAATCTACAACAAGGACACGCCCGAAAACTTATAGTCAAGAAAGTGTTTGCTTAAGATTTGATTAGCAAAGAAAGTCATGGAAAAAGAGAATATTGATATAACTAGTTGACAGATAATTGCGACTCTTTGAAGAATCTTTTCATTGGTTCCGGATACTGCTCAATGGACAAAAAAATTCTACATCTATGGTTGTGTTATATACACACACCTATACATAATAGTTGCATTTGAATCTCGAATAAATAGGTGTACTGTACCTGTTCAAACATTTGTGTCATAATTATCTTCAAGTTATTGCAATTTGTGTCCTTTGGATTTTCGAAAAATATCCATTTTTGAATTGTTCTCGTGGTTGTACACGGTACCTCAATGATTTAAACACAATATATTGTCATCAGAGCAATGCAACATCACCTTATAAGCTTAAAATCACAAAGTGAGAATCAAGTTCAGATTGGTGCGTATTGACCCGTAGATATTGGTCTTGACCAAGGACCAGGTTCTAATTATGTAGATTGATGCCAGTTAATATTCAGTTTGTTTTTAAAGTTTCTTTGGTGATACTTGGCAATATGAAGCGGCATATACCGCCTAGTATTATGTATTGTACCAGTTCGACTAGTTACTGAAATCCACTTCTAATCAAGATTTAAATTCTTGATTGAAGTTGTGATTTTGTCTAAGCTACACATGTCATGTCTTGATGATGATGAATGCCTGCCAAATGATGTATGTGGATCAGTGGATGAAATCGAGAGTCTCAGCCAAGCATTGGCCTAGACCTGGGAACTTTTAGGTTGAAAAAAGGTGTAAATTTATATCAACCTATACGGGACAATATCGATCAGTATTGAACTTGTACGCACCTAAATCTGTCCTGTATCAACCTGTACTGATTGGGATACCATGGTCTGCCTTGTCTGAGTAATTACCAGTACAACATAGTCCATCTCCTGATATTTTATCAGAGCATTATCTACTGCCTGTACCAAGTGGTATGGACCAGTATGACAGTCCATGTTTGAAATACAGTACTTATTATCTCATCATGTTAGTCCTAATATTGTTCTTGAGCATTACGCAAACTCTCTGTTTAATTTTTTCTAGTTGTAGCACTTGTGGACAGAGTAATGAAAGATATGTTGTAAGTCTCAAAGAATCTGTTTTATGTTAAATTAGTTTGCATTCTTCAGTATTTAGATGATCATAAAATGCTGTTGCACTTTATGATGATCAACCTAAGGTAAAATTCCAAAATTTTAGCATCATTATTTTAAAGATGTTCTTCAGTCTTCAATCTTAGCATCATTATTTTGTGTTGATTGTCAGATGTTTATCTACTAAGTTTTAAAGGTGAATATTTTACCAATACTAAAGAATGTATTCGTTGTAAGCCTATAATTAGAAATAAATAACTACTATCGTGTGATGGCCTTCTTAAGAGTAAGGCTGGCACTCAAGAGTTGCCAAACAGAACGAGTTACCAAACTAAATATTTATGTACCACATCCATAGGCATTCAGACATTTAAGCCTGTCAAGGTGAAATGGACAACCATCTATAGACCTAACCAGTTGGTTTAACATGTATATTCTTTGTCCTCATAGCACATCTCAATCTCCCTTCCAATTGCAATACATTTCTTTCATGAATTAAATGATAACAGCAGCAGTTGGATCTTGTTAACCGTGTGAGATCTAGCAATGCTATATTTTTTGTACTAGTGTTAACTGTGTCAATTAGCTTTACTACTAGAAGTGAATTTTTTGAACAATGGTAAGCTCTCTGTCTTATATTGCTTGCCAGATTTTTCTCCTATCAAAGTTTTTTCTCTGCTATAGTGCTACTAGTCCAGAAGATATTCATATTATCACTTGTATTGCAAATAGCTTCTTAGATGATAACCAAAGTTTATTGCTTTATAGGTAGCTCGTGGTGACAATAGTGGTGGAGAAGCTATTCCGATGCTTTTAAGAATCCCTCGCTTTTTTGACCCTTGGGGTGGCTATGATATGATTGGCTTTGGGGACATTCTCTTTCCCGGTTTGCTTGTTGCATTTAGTTATAGGTATGTTCTACCATTACTTCAATATTTATCTAAAAACTGGATATTACAATGTGTGTGTGTGTGGCACGGAAAAATAAACCATGGTAGTTTGTTCGTCATCTATGTTTGAATTTGAAAATGCCAATAGTACTCTTGGTATATATATATAAAGGTTTTGAATACCATACCGTATCGATATACTAATCAACTGTCGATATGGTATGTACTGAGCTATACCGAGCATACTGACGCATGATACATTAAGTTGTACCAATGTACCACCCATACCGGTTCTCTATTGGACTGATACGTACCACCCGTACTATGCGTTATGGTACGATATTGCAAACCATGATATATATATATATGGTTTGTTTTATTATCATGGAATGCCTGGTTCCTTTTTTAGTCAAGGAAATTGCTTCTAATCCAGTTCAACCTAGATTTGGATGTAGTGACCAGTTATTGTTCTGTAATTAATTAAATAATTTGATTATTAAGATAATGTAACTATTTCAAACTCGAAATAACAGTATACATAGAAAGGGAATCAAGACCTTGAATTCGTTGTTTCACCAACCTACATTGAGTGTGAATATCAGATATGTACAGTATTGGAAAACTGATTTGGTCAATGTCTGCAGAAAGGTCTGACCTTGCTGAGTTTTCTTGTGACTCGTTTGCAGACATTACCAAGACAATGGACTCTGATTTTTTTGTTGCCACATCTTTTTGGCTAATGTCCTGATGATATATCACTCGTCTAAACCAAGACTAAGACTAGTTGCCAAGTTGTTTCAACTTGTCAGCAAATCTTTACTGTTATGTTTTCTTATAATTGTTATCATGCTTGCTGTGGTCAATGAAGTTCCTTGGTTATTTTCACTATTATTGTCAGCATAAAGATACATGTTTATCTTCACAACATGGCTCTAATTGCATTTTTCCTTTTTTTGATTCCCTCTATCAAAGACCAAAATAAAACATTCTTTCATTTTAGTCAGTGTATCTGTCATGTTTTGTAGGTGGCCTAGTAACCCAATTCTAAAAATTTAATCCAATTGAATACATGAAAATAGAAAAAAGTTCATTTATATCAAACCAAGACAAAAATGAATGTATACTGTTCTTTCTGCTGATATGGGTAAATTTGGGTACGTTTGCCCTTCCTAAACTCTGCATTGCCAGGAACCTTGTGCCTTTTTTTTCAGGAATAAAAAGTAAAATTTAAATTATAAAAATTTAAAATTCATAAAGGCCCTTTCTTCTATTTTAGGGATTTCATCAATAACTCCATATCTTGTTGGTTAATTTTTGACCTCATGGCTTTAATGCTGTCTTGATTTGTTCAATTCTACTATGTCATCTTTTGCTCAAGTTTTTCTATGGCTTGTGCCGATATCAGTTATGTCACTTGCTGCGGCTCCTGACCTACACTACCATATGAATCTGGCCCATTTCAAGCATTGCACATAGTGTCTCTTGTCTGGCACCAGAATTTGCAGCTTCATTGCTGCACAAAAATGAAATATTAGAATCGCCTATAACTCCATATATTGTAGGCAGTTTGCTTTACCATAAGATATTTTGCTTATGTTCTCTAAAAAATTGTGTACTATCAATCACACTGCTTTTAGCTTTGTGTTTCTTTTACTTATCGTCTACATTAAAGCGAACTTGATTTATTAGTTCTTATCAATGATTGAATAAATGAAAGAAACGGATTCAAACTCCAAGTCTTAAAAGACTCTACCCTATAAATCTTACCATTTACAAACATTGCACACCTTGCCTGTTCTTGTCAACAAGGAACTGCCTCTTGAAACATGATTTTGTTAATCGTATGGCTCTAGATTCTCTGGCATCTTAGTTTACTCTGTCAACACACTAGCATGTTCTTTTTCCTGGAAATTAGTCTATTAGATTAGTTTTCCCCTGTTATGTTTTACCTGCTGATAGATGTCTGTTTTCATCCATGAGCAGTACGTTGTTTGTCATGACTGATATAGTATTCTGCTAGCAGTTCTCTAATGAAGGCATAGTATTCCAAATGCCAATTTTTTTAACAGGAAACATCTTGAACTTTTGCATTTTCCAGATATGAAAGATCAAAGAAGAAGGGCATCTTGAATGGTTACTTTCTTTGGTTGACAATTGGATACGCATTCGGTTAGTATAAATTAAGCCTTGCTCCTATAATGTAAGAGATGATGTTACTAGGCTGGGTTAGCTTTTGTAATGGCCTCATTTATCTCAGTGTAGATCTGGAATTTTCAGGTTTTTGAGTTTGAATTGCCTGGTGGCATATAATGTACTATTAGCTGATTTCTATGTATTAGATGGCTGCCAACAAGGTTTGCCTTCTCGGGTACCGGACCCATTTCGGCAATCTGCTGGAATGGTATGTATCAGCCTGTCCTGGTGTACCAACACATGGTATGTCAGTGCGTACCAGTGTTTCGGTGAGGAAGAAAAAGAGGTTGAAGAGGAAGGGCTGGTGGAGGAATAGATGAGGAAGAATAAAGAAAAGGAGGAGAAGAATAAAGAAAAGAAGGAAAAGCTGGAAGCACAAGAAGAGCCCTACTCTGCTCTTTTTTTAAAATAAAAAATTTAACGCTGAAATGGACTGGGACCCTTCACTTTTCAATTTTTTATTATTTTAATTCGGACCGCCTGAAATGGGGTGGTCCGTGTATCGGTCCATGCTCGGACCGGTACGTACCGTACTGTTTTTAGCAGTACAGCAATTCTTGGCTGCCAAGGCCTCTCTTTGGTTTCTTTGTTGGGATCACAGGCAAGACTTGCCTCAGAAGTTTGGCAGCCTTTAGTAATTATCAGTTCATATGGCTCATGCATATCGTTCGATGTCTGTGGATCTAGAGATCTCCATGAGTATGGTGCACAAATTTGTCAGTGATTGCTTGATGCAAGCATCAAGTCTGTTGTAATGTACATGATAGAATAATCCCTCTTTGGTCTCACTTATGGTTGGTGCGACCCACTAGCAACCCTAATTTCTGATATGCATGCACATAGTCCAGTTTTCACATTGACTGCCTGCAGCTCTGATTTGGTTCCAGTTGCAACTGAACCATGTTTCCTTGTTCTCAGTACATGATTATAAAAATAAAAAAAACCATTTGCTGGCTTATCACTAACTTTCACTTGAGCTATTCTTGGCGCAATATTTGTGCCACATCATGTTTTCTCTAATTGCTGCATATTTTCTGAGTAGTGGTTTTGCTTTTGCAGGTCTGTTCCTCACCTATCTTGCGCTATATCTAATGGATGGGCATGGCCAACCCGCCTTGCTATATTTGGTTCCTTGCACCTTAGGTAACAAAATTCGATCATCCTACTGTTACCTGAGTCAAAACATGTACTCTCTTGATTCAAATGCTAGCTAACACATGGTAACTTTGTGGCTCCACGAATTAGGGCTTACAATTATACTAGGGTGGCTGAGAGGAGACTTGAATGATTTGTGGAACTACGGCAAACATCAGACGAGTAGTATTCCTGCCGAAGAATGTTGAGCATTGGGTACATCAAAAGCTGGTGAGAGATGAATATGTGTAAGTTCCTTTTAATCAAGGTGCTCTCATGCCATATTTTGATCCACTGGTGCTCTCCTAACTTGCATGCCTTGAATTGTTAGATCCAACTGCATCAAGGAAATTTGATAAAGTTCACAGAAACATGGTTCAAGTTACTGGAAGAACATTATCCGTAAAACACACCATTTAGCTGACGAGTAGTAGAAGAAAAATTCAGAAATTCTTCTTTTATCTTCTCAGAAATGTAGCTGTAAGCTGTTCCAATCTGGAAATTTCTATTTTATTATCCACCATTGTCATAATAGTTCATCTGATTTTTTTTCCTTCCAAATATTACTCTGGTTGAGCAATGTGCATACTGCAATTTACTTTATTTCCCAAAATGTATGAATGGCGCTTATAATCGTACTCAAACAGACTTTTTCCCCACTGAGGATATGTATAACTTGCGCAGACTCCAAGCAAATACCAAAAAGAAAACAGTGACTATCCAACACCGTTTTCCTTAGGTAATATGTATGAGTAGAATAATAGCAACTCTCAGAACCACCGGTGGCAATAAAAGGAAAAACCATACAAAATACCAATAATGCATCAAACTAGAAGACTTGGTAGTATCTTTAGGTAATTGATTAATTTGTTCCAGTTTGTTGGCAGGATGAAGAGGCAAGTGGTCATTGAAAAAAAGTGTCTGGTCCCGTTGTCAGTGCCCCTAGTGCAATCAAATATGTGAGTGATATGATGATGATCTTACACTAGTAGTAGTAGTGTCTCGGTCCAGTTAGATTAGTACAAGGTTGGTTCGTTTAGACATTAATACGTCGGAACAGGAGACGGTGAAGAAAGAGATGCGGGAGATAGAAAAGGCGAATCTCGAGTGAAGTCGTGAGCCTCAGCGCAAAAAAGAAAACTTACGTTAAAAGCCAAACCGGACCAAAACCTTTCGGATCAATGGTTGAACCGGTAAATTGCCAACAAAACCCTAGCAAACCAAGGCAAAATTACGAAGTCCTAAATAGTAGCAACTAAATTTACGAGCAGATCCCCTGAACAATATGTCAATCCTAGAGTTCCGTCACTGACACACACTCATCGATGGCAGAGTGGGAAGAAGACAATTAGCTAATAGGGAAAGAGAAAACGGGAAACCGTAATGGCAAAATGGGGGCACAATTAGCTAATCATCATCAAACACCATTCACATGGCATTTATTATTCTACATTTCTATGCATTGGCTACTAGAAAAAAATATAAGAGTGCAAGGAACACAACAAAACTAAATAAAGAAAACCCTATTCCAGAACGGGGGTACCAATTAGCTAATCATCATCAAAACCCATTCTCATGACATCTATACTCTACATTCTATATATTGGCTGCTGGCAACAATAGAATGCAAGAAACAAAAATTAAACTAAATAAAGGAAACCCTATTATGATAAAGGGAGTGCAATTAGCTAATCATCATCAAACACCATTCTCATGACATATTTATATTCTACATTTCTATGTATTGGCTGCGTGCAAGAAACAAAACTAAACTCAAAAAAGGGGGCATCATAAGTTAATCATGACATGTAGAAATCAAACACCATCCTCATGACATTTATATTCTACATTTCTATGTGTTGGCTACTAGCAAAAATAGAGTGCAAGAAACAAAACAAAACAAAACCTCCCACTCTTGAGTTGTTGCTAGAACAATAGGAAAGACAATATTCCAACTAATCCAAGGACCAAAAAGAGCACAATCCCGAGGGCGAGTCCCTTGGTTCAACTATTGGTAGATCTACTGATGGCTGATGAACCATCACGGCTTCCTAAACCACCGGCTTCATCCGATACGATCAACCCCTATGGTACCCAACATCACTTCCACGATTTGAAGAGGCTCCCCTACCATTACCTCTGACTCCAAATTCAGGTCTGGTATTGAAGTCCCCTCTACTGTAGCCCCTCCCACCATAACTACCACGGCCTCTCCAGTCATTGCGAAACCCACCCCCTCTACCAGGTGGAAATCTTCCTCTGTTACTAACTGCAGAAAAACAAATTTTGCAATAAATGTGCTGCTGATGGTGATAATGAATTAAAACAACTAAATCCTTTGTTTCAAAAAAAAAAAAAATCAAACAAATAATGTTACAAATGAAAACTTAAAGAGTGTCGCTATGAATACAAAAAGGCCTAGGATAGAGAGTTTATTCGACACTTGCCTCTTGAACTTGTAGCCCGCTTTTCCTCGACATAAACTTGGCGACCACCTATCGTTACAGGCGAGGCCTGCAATTTGAACAAGCCCCATTATAGAAATTTATTTGCCAATCTTAAATATCAAGCAAGCAACTCTGGCCCTAGTATTTGCTTACTCTGACCAGTTTCCAACAGTTTCACAGATGCCCTTTTTATTCATCAAAATGAAGATAGTTAACAGGAACATAGATCAACCTGTACCATCTCACTCTGGTCTCGTAGATATAAATAAAAAGACATAGATAGCATATGGATACAATGGATAGGGTAACATTTGTTTAAATCTGTTTTCGTATCCAATGGGAGAAAGATATATTTTCACAAATGTGTATTCATGTCATATTTGTCATTATCCAAATTCTGCAAATGCAAGTCCACCAATTATGGGAATAGATATAGAACAGTTCCATCAGCAATCAGCAGTATAGAAGTATATATTATCTGCACTCATAAAAGCAAAACAAATGTTTGATATGTTTCCCTAAGTATAATAAATTCATCTTTTCATTCCTTTCTTTTTCTATTACATCCACCTTCAAGTTGTTCCATCTACAAACTGTTGTTGATAAATTTGGGTTCATTTCTTATTACATGTCAGCAACTTATCTGATTTATGTCGAACTTACATTCATATCCATCTTAAATCCAATTTTAATTGGTCTCTGTTTATTTATTCCATATCTATCTTAAAGAAATATGATTAAAAAATTTAGCACACATCTATTATCCATATCCAAATAACTTTCCATTTACTGGATATAGATATAGACATGATTTTTACAGTACTTGAGCCTCTTTACCACAACATACATAGAAAGATGTGTATAAAATTGATGTTTTTTTTGCAAAAAGACAAGAATAATATTGAGATGAAGTGAGAGAAGCTCTGCTAAAGTTAATACATAGAAAGAAGCATTTTTCTCATGGCCGCCAATGATCCCTCTTTGACAACAGTGCCCATCTCACAGGCTCTATCTGTTCATGCGGTGGTCTCTCACTCCTGCGAGCTCCACAGACCTCATGTTGTTGAGGCCTTCCTCTCAAAGCCTCCCTCGTTCCCGTGACAATGCCGCTGTTGGAGGCATCTCCTTTTCTCGTGATGATGTTCTCTCTCTGATGGTCTTTAGCGCCGCTGCTTACCCGTTCTGTTGCTGATGCTATGGTCTGTTGCCAAAGTGCACCAGCAGTTGCCTTCCCTCTTCTATGGTTGCTGGTGTGCTCAAAGAATCTGATGCAATTAGGGCCACTAGACGACTGACTACTGCAATTCCTTCCTTGACCACCTTGTCCATGATTCCCTTTTCTGTTGTTGGTGTTTCTTCACTATAAGCCAATCCAATCCATTCCCTCCCTATTGCAATCAAGGCCAATGCTGCCCCTTCTCTATCATCCAGTTTCAATTCTAATTCTTCGACGATCCATCTTCTAGCAACCGAGGGTTCACCAACAATAACTGTTGTTCTCCCCTTATCACCCAACACCAATGGCGCCTTATTTATGGCTCCTCTTCTTGCTGTTGGAGTGATTTCATAGATGGTTGATGTCTCACATTCCTCGTTGGTGATCCCTTTTTCACTGACCGATTCCATCTCTTTGGCGATTAAAGCCGATGGAGGAGTATCGACTGCCGCTTCTTTGCTACTTGATGCATGTGCTACCTCTCCTCCTACCTCGGTGGCTCTTTCTAGGTGACTACGATGACTACTATTTCATCGAGGGTCTCCCCATGTTGGACCTACCACCTTTGGCAGAGGGATAGCACCTACCGCACAAGGAGCTATACTTCCCACGATGTAACAATGCTCTCTACATCCCCTCTTTTGGATGAATCTGTGACTTTTTGCTCCCCTCATCCAATGCTTGGTTTGGCCCTACACAAAAAGCATGGAGTTCTTCGTTAACTCCAATCTCGAAGCCTAAGAGATGTTGCTTATTCCATGAACCTCTCTCTTTCTCGCATGGAGTTCTTAAAATCCAAGCTTCTAAGGAGGAAATCCTTGAGGGGGAAGAGTATTGAAAGAATTTACTAATTGATTATTTTGTTGGTCCTCACTTGCCCTATCTCATTGTCAAAAATTGCATAAATGTTTTCTAAAAGGCTTTCGACTTATTGGAACTTCAATGCACACCTTTTGAAAAGCTATTACACTTCTTTTTACTAGTTAGTTGATCCATAAACAAAGACTTCTCAATGCCACTAGCAATAGAGTTGAGAAATTTAAGCATCCACAAAAATATATAAATGTTGAATAATTTTACCCAAATTGGAATTAAAAGAAAATCGATCTTCTCCAATTAAAATCACAATCCTAGGGTCGAAGGATAAGGAATTTCTTCTGAATATACCAAGGGCCAAAATCCAACACCCTATTAAGATCATTTCGGTTCCCAAAGCGAAAGATCAAGAATCCAACATCCATAAAGAGAACTTCCAAGGAACCAGAAGGCTTCTAAGAAGCATTTACCCGGAGAACCAACAAGGTAACCAATCAGCAAATTCTTTTGGTACTCTTTTCCCTTAAGGATTTCCTCCTAAAATGCTTGGATTTTGAGAACTCCATACAAGAAAAAAAGTAGTTCATGAAATAAGAAAAATCTCACAAGCTAGGAGACTAGAGTGAACAAAAAACTGCATGCTTTTTGTGTGAGGCCAACCCAAGCGCTCGACGAATAAGGGGAGTAAGAAGTCGCAACTTCATCCAAAAGAAGGGACACATAGAGAGCACTGTAGCATCACATGAAGTAGCTCCTCGTGCAACAGGAGGGACGACCACTCCATCGAGGATAGCAAGGTCCAACACGGTGGAGACCATCAACGACGAGCAAGAATCAATGGTCATCGTGGTCACCTGCAAAGAGTCATTGATGGCAAGAGTCATAGTTTAGGCGCCAAGTAACAAAGGAGTCGCAACCGATACCCCTCCACCAACCTTAATCACTGAAGAGATAGAATCGACCGACGAATAAGGCGAGGAACACGAGACAACGAACGTTTGCAAAATCACTCCAACAACAAGAGGAGTCACAAACGAGGCACCACTGGTGTTGACCGATAAGGGAAGAACAATGGTGATTGTCGACGAAGGACCCCAAATTGCCAGAAAGATGGATCAACGAAGAATCAAAATCGATGTAGGACAATAGAGAAGGGGTAACATCGGCCATAATCATAACTAGGAGGGAAGGGACAAGATTGACCAACAATGAAGAAACACCAACAAGAGGAAGGCGAATCGTTGATGGGGTGGTCAAGGAAGGAATTACAACGATCAGTCATCCACTAACCCTAACCGTATCAGATTCTTTGAGGACACGAGCAACCTTAGAAGGGGAAGGCAACCACGGGGGTGCTTTAGCAATAGACCACTAATGTTGGTAATAGAAAGGGCAATGGTGATAAAGACCATCGGAGTGATAGCATCTTCACGAGATAAGGAAATGCCTCCAACAGCGACATCGTCATGAGAACATGGGAAGCTTTAAAAGGAAGGTTTCAACAACACAATGTCCATGGAGCCCACAAAAGTGGGAACGTAAGAGGAGTTAGAGACCACCAAGCCAACATATGGAACATGTGATATAGGCATTGCCGCCAATGAGGAATCCCCAGTGGCCATGAGGAAAATGCTTCTCTCTCCTCCCAAACGCTTACAATGCTTCCTCATAAAATTGATGTCATAAAATTAGGAATTACCAAAACATGAATTGATGGAATAGCTTATCAATTAATTTAATAAGCCTCAACCATCCACACAAGCTGCTTAAGCAAAATCAAAAGTAGTAGTCTAATTTAGCCCTACAAACCAACTCAATTCTTCTACTTCCAATAAAGGGACTACACTTAGATACTACAATCTCTCACTTAAGTTTTGTATCATCGTAAGGGAACAAAAAGAAAGCACAACATCAAAGGTCTAAGAAATATCAAAGCTCAAGAAAAACAAGGTTCTCCCTGGAAGTACTCATATAAGCATCTTCCACATATCACAAAAGTTGACTTCTTAATAACTACTCTCAAATCCAAATCCTCTAATAGAGTACCAAGATGCACCAAAGTACCCAAGCAATACTGATAATCCACAAGTTCACTAAGCATTTTTAGTAAATGACATTTAGTCAACACGCAAGATGATACCATCCATCAAGTTATTGAATAGATCCTCAACTTATAATCAATAGTTTATTAGTAAATCAAACAAATCAATCCAATAAATTTAATCTTGATATCTATTACTTTGTGAAATAATAATCTAAGATGATGGTTGCTTCATGATTTCATTGGTATATGATATAAGCCAAGGAATGATTCCAACATAACTTAAACTGTACGTACAATCTAATATACCATAGTTGCCATGATGCACAACCTATATTTACATTAAGCACAAACCAATTTCAATAGTTAATAGCTAAATTATTGGGCATGAATCTTATACACTTACAAAATTGAATGAGGATTCATTGAGCTCTTAACCAAATTTAATAGCAACCCACCAATACTACAAGTAGCATGCAGGGAATAAATAATAATACAAGGAAAAAGCTAGTGATAGTATTCATAGAGTCACCTCTATTGCACTTTGAACAGCACTAGCCACCTCAAACTCTACAAAACCGAAACAGTAACCTTGCAGCTGCATATAATTAATAAATGGTTTTCTTAGATAATTGGCAACAAAAAATGGTAATGAGAACTGAAGTAAACATCAAAGGACAATGAATAGAAAACAACCTTATTGCTTCTAACTTGTACGCCATCTGGCTTAATAGGACCATATTTCTTGAACTCTTCCTCAAGTTGAGCCGGTGTGGCATCCAAAGGCAAATTCTTCACATATATGGAATATCCATCAGCTGGACAGAAGCATAGAACGAATGAAACCCAGAACACAGAGCTACACTGAAGTTAATTAATTGAAATATCAATAAGATAATAATCATTATAACCATCTGTTTCTGGGACATTGCTGCTTTCAGCAGCAGAACTGGATGTGGGCATATCAGTTGCTTGAGTTGCAGGAGGAACAGGGAGTGCCGGTGGTTCTGTTTTAATTGATACTGGCCTAGAAGGAGCATATACTGTAACTGGTGCAGAAGCTTTATCTTTCATCGCCTTCAACTGCAACCAAAGTCGAACAAGATATTACACAACTAGATTCTTTAAATACAGTTCTGCAAAATTTCATAAGCGAATTATATCTTTCTGAATGCCGGTTGGAGACTTGAAGTAGTGGAAAAAAAAATTAATTAATATATATCATTAATAAACTCTTCAGCAGTCCACACATGTCCGGAGCACTAGCTAAAAGCATACCCTTCAGATTCATCTGTTTAAAACTAAGTAAAATTGGCATTCTGATGAGAATAAGAGTCAATGTAAAAGATGTAATTATTACAATATATTCAAATTGGACACTTACAATTGCAGCATATGACTTTTTTGGCGCTTCCTCTTGGGCAGTATTGACATTTGATTCAACCACAACTGCCTGAGAAGTGTTTGGAACTTCATCGATCACCTCACAACTAGGGTCTTCCTCTTCCACAATCTCCCCATTGTCTTCAGGATTATCAACTTCTCCCCCGTTCATCTCCTCATCTCCTACTGGCAATGAGATAGTTTGGTCCGGAGCATGTTGCTCTTGTTCTGGAGGTAAATCTGCAAGTAAAAAGAAAGAAGCATAAAATTCCCAAATGAAGACAACAGATGAAAGGACAATGAAGCCTTAAGCCGTAGAAAGACCAACCATGTTCCACTACATGAGGTTCGGTAGTGCCATTCGCCAAACCCTGGTGTCCCTGCTGGTGATCGGCCTCTTCTACAAACCTGAGTATGTCATTCAGGACATAATAACCCTTGTCCTGGGGAGCAAGAAAGAAGGACTGGGTGAAGTCCCTTTTAATACTGTCCTCGCCAGTGAGGTACCCTGTCACGAGCACAAGCACACCGCCACCAAGAGATTCTTGGGCGTCCACCGTCTTCATCTCCGCTCTAACAACGCCCATAGACAATATCTTTTCATTGATTGCCTGCATCTCATCCGTCGAACAATTTGGGTAATAAGTTTGCCATCAAAAACAAATGATCATCATTCTGAAAGATAATCGAACCCAACTAGATAACTCAGGGCTATGTGCACTCACATTGGTGGTGGTGACCAAGCTGATGGCGCCATGGGCATCCGGCCGCCCGAGCTTGCTGCTCTCCTGGTAGAATCGGTACACCAGCTCAGGCGATTGCTGGAGGATATGGTAGTACTGCTGAACAAACGCGTTCCCTACCTGAACCACCGACCTCCAAATCAGATACAACAAAGACAAGATATCAAAGCAAGGCCAAACAAAGACGAATCCGCTACCACTTGAGCCGAAAGCGGAGATCGTTCGGCACTCGACGGATGGGCGGCCATCTTGCGACGAGGAAAGCAAGCGAGGACGGTAGAAACCCTAGTGATGGATCCGAAGGTCGCCGACCGGAAAGATCGATCGACGTGAGAACGATGGATAAAATAGGGGATCGATCCGCGGAAAAGAAACGCTATTGATTGCGGGCGGTTCTCTCCCTCGTTCGTCTCCCTTTTCTAGGGTTTGGAGCTCCGGATCTGATACGGAGGGCAGCGGAAGAACAACTCCATTTTCCATCAATTTAAACCGGGAGGATTGGCACGTGACCGATGACGTCGGTCCAACAAGCATGTGCGTTCGGTGGTTTGCGGTACGATGTCCCGCGGGCGGGCGTAACGAACAAGAACATGCGATGGAGATCTCGAACCTGTTATGATCATCCGGACGATGTGGTACGTCGGATCGCAGGGCGTGTGTCAGCACAGGTTAAGAGTATGCGTACCCTGAGACTAAGCTCAAACAAAACCATTCAATTTTAGGAGTCGCAAATAACACCAATAAAAAGAAAAGAAAAAATTGAAAGAGGATACATTGGTATGTGGTTGAGTTGGGAATGACAGCTCAATTAGCTTTGTGTGTGAAGTAATGAGGAAATGGGTATTTTACATACAAGAATTCCTCCAAAACTATTCAAAATCTCATCAAGTCTCATTTTGCAAAATCTAAATGATGGAGAGGAGATTTGATCTTTTTCTTTCTGTCAAGAAGGATAAATAAGGTACAACGTTACAAAAAAAAAAAAGCTCTTGGACTCCAAGCACAAAAATTGGAGAATTCCACTCCCCTCTCTAAAGACAAGAGAAGCTCATTCTAGTATTACAACTCAGTTGCCAATCTCATTTCTTTCTCTATATACATGAGCGATTTCATACTCATCAGAATTTACATATTCAATGATGCTATACACAGTTAGGAGGATAGAGCTCTTCTTAAGCAAAATTCAAATAACAACTTCATAGAATGATAAATCTGAAACCAACTGCCACATCACGACATCTGAAGTTCTTCCCTCAATGCAATGACCGCGTAAAATAGCAGGCTTTGCTACTTCACAAATCTACACCCAGCAGAAACAGGATCATCAATATAGATGAGATTTGATTTGAACATCTTAAATTAATTGACATCTTTGGTGCAATAAAAATTGCAGTTGCAATTGTAAAAGAGGGTGGGGATTTCCTGCTTCAAGAATGCCTCACCAGTTTGAACTAATGTGGAATCTTTTAATTCAAGGAAGGGTAACATTGTTTAAATCACATCAAAGACAAGGCATACCTTAGTATCTGCTTCCTTTGCAAGCTCAAGTGGGTTCTTCATGGGGATTGGAATTGAGATCAACCAGGATGAGGATCTGTAAACAGAATTTACATCGTTTATTAAGCTTAGGATGAGAAATGTGCTGAAAAAACAATGCAAACACAGGTTGGCTAATGTGCTCTTCTGCAGGCCAATTGCTATATAAAATACAGACTGTAACAATGACCAAAAATAAGGAAAAGAAAATAGTGTGGATAAAGCCCTCTGATATGAAGTCCAGAGAGAAAATTCTGTGAAACATTATTCTGTGTTGATTGCACAAAATCCAAAGCCTCTGCAGAAAAGTGTCATTGGCAAAAAAAAGAAGAAAAAGCTAACAGATTCTGATTCCTAAACCTCTCTGACTTGAGAGCATAATTCTATTCCTCTGCTTTGGTTAGAAGCTCCATATAGACTACAAGCATTGTTTCCTACATGCACATCAGCATTATAGCATCAATAACACTTCAAAGTGTAGCTGGTAAAGTTACTATAGGATTTCACCATTACACAGACATCAAGAAAACCAACATTGAGGCAGCAACTCAGGTAGAAGTTTGGTTACTGAGTAACCAAACCCAGATGCAGCAACTACGCAATAACTTAATTTCCCTTCTATGTTGTTCCTATTAAACTTATTATTTAAGATCAATCCCATTGACTTTGGATCTAATGTCAACATACATGTCCTTTTGTGTTTCAGGACCAACTGCAAAATACAATTTGTGACAATCTGAAATCCCAGATCTGATGCCTTTAGTTAACTCAGCATTAATCATTAAATTAAACAACACAAAGCAACTATCATGAACTCATTGTCTAAGAAGTAGCATTCAGTATTCAGAGTGATCATACTTCTCAACCATTTGAACAAGAAAAAGGAATCCTTTCAGAATAGACTATCATGTCAACTACTACTAAGAATATCAGCTTGCTTGTCTGCCCTGACACCCACAAAAGACGCACTAAAGCATAGATAGCTGCAGTTTTGTTCTAAGAACCCCAAGATCAGGACCTAAAATCATTGGTAAATAATGAGTAAAAGGCATGCCTTGTCGACACCACTATCATTCTATTATCACTATAGTTGCTTCAGCTACATATCCTTCACAAAACTCTTTGAAAGGCTTATACATCCATGAACAATACCTAGTACTGTAATTGGTTATTTCCTTTTTTTCATTTCCTTTCAATTTTAGTCGCTGCTAGTGGTATTCTTTTCAGCCTCACCTACATTGTAGCCCTTCAAAACAGTATTAATGCCATGTCCACATCATGACAATGGAATATCCACACCTTTGACCTTTGGCCTATCACAAAACACTAAGATTGTTGCATCTTCTACATTCTCTGTGATACTCTTTATGTTTCACCACATTTTTACCAGGTCTATCACATAGGGACTTTGCAGACACCTTGAGCAGTTAAAATACTGAACCATACAACATAAGTGCTTTATGAATATTACAAACTTATGCCTCATGATTAAAATGCATCCATCAAATCACATCCATTTTCAGCCTGTATTAAGTGCTTACACAATTATCTCTCAATATGCTACAACATAAGACTAGGATAAAAATGTTATCGTTTAGGCATAACATATGATTTGTACACTTTTTTGTGCAATAATGGGATGATATATACAGATGATTTCGACTAAAAGATTATTATTGTTTTCTCTGAAAAACTTAAGATTCAAATGTTAAAAGATGTTGATTCAATACATGTTCCAACGAGAAACACATTTGATCTCCTAATCAAGCTCCACCTGAGGTGTCCAAACACTTTGTTGCAGGATTGCAACAATTATTGCAGCAATTACCTTTTTGCATATATGACTCCTCAGGTTGAATTTCTCACCATGTCAAGCATGTTTTAGAATCAAACCAAGTGTTAACACCATGGTTAAGTTTCTTCTTCATGGCGACATGAATAACCCAGCTGGACCATTACATGATGAGGGAGTAAATAAGTTCTCAAGGCACCTGGTCTGCTGACAATTTGATCTCTGTTAGTTCCTACAAAAAATAGTCATTTATGTCCTTGACCTAAACGAAGTCAAATCTAACCTTGTGGCACTTTTCATTGTTTATGATGCCCTTTACAATCTTTATTTGAGAATTTTTCTCATGATACGTAATTTACTAATGATTACTCTTAATACATGCCCCTTGGGAATCAACTAAAGGTTTGGTTCATAATTTAATCGATGACAGTATTACCACATCAGACAGTCTATAGATATTATGTCAATGTGGGATGTGATTTAGGTAGCAATCTGCTACTTACTCAGCAGCCATACAACTTAATCCATACCATGTCAAAGTGGGATGCGATTGCTTCCTTAATATTACATCATGTTCATAAATGCTAGAATGTTTCTTGTCATATTCATCAAAGAATTCTTCTTCATCCAGAAGACACAATGGATTCTGGTAGGCTAAAACTTCTATACATAATGGACTAAGTAATTCTTTATATAATCCTCTTGCTAGGCTACTTATTGTGATGCTAGTGGGAAAAAATTCTAAAACAAGGACTTTCTACTGATTAACAATGCTAGAAAAAGATGTATATTGATTTATGTATTTTTTGCTTGAATAACATGCAATTTACCAAGCACAAAGTTTTCCTGAATAAGATCATGTCTACAAATATGAAGTTGATGAGAAGATACTAATGTCTACTGAATACAAAATCAAGCATACCTTCACTTGCACTTATTTCAATCACAGATTCGTATTTGTTTATTTCTAGCCTACTCGAAGAATTTCACATACAAGTTTTTGTTTACTTTTTCCCTTCTTTGTTCCTTTATTGTTTGGATAAGAAATACAAAGTAGCTTCAAATTTCAATTTCCGGAAGATACAATTACACATAAAGGAGATAGCTAAGAAAATAGTAACTCACCAGACTCTGCCAGTAATGTACTACTCAGTGCACATCGTTCTCCTCCATGCGTCAAGATCAAAGAAATTCATAGGGGATAAGTTCATATACTGATAATGAGAATGAAGCAATCTGAAACATGAATCGACTGAACCTTTCACTTTCCCGTCCTTATCAATCTTCCACAGTGATGTGAAGAAAGGAATTCTGTGAAGCTTCGGGTACATCTCAGGCAAGGAAAACCTCAATTGGTTCAGCATTGACAAGTACTTGGGGTTCCTAAACTTCATGTTTGTGTCTTTGGGTGGCATTCTCCAGCTTGTTGTCGAAATCGGACCATTGGAGGTTTGCAGACTCGAGCTGCTGGAGAACCGCGCACATAAAAACACTTGGGGGGAACTTGTACCCCTCGACGGCTCTCCATTCGATGTGGGAGCCGGAGTGATCTTTCAAAGGAAACATGAACTGCGCTGCCCCAAGGTACATCCGATCCGACATGGAAGGCATTCACGGAAGCATCGCAGACGACGGAGTTCACCATTACGGATGAAGCAGGGACATTGTCCGAGAAGATGGTAAAATGGTACAACTTTGGGTCTTTGAGCTCCGCTGGAGGGGTCGGAATCCGGTGGCGGTCCTCGTAGAGGGGCGAGGAGGAGGGAGAGGTTGCTCCGGGCTCTCGATCTTGAACCTGAGCGTGTACGAGGCTCAGGCGCGGCGGCAACGGCAACCCGGTCGCCTACCCGCTTCCGGACCAGCTCTGCCAACGCCCGGAGGGGGTCCGATCGGACGGCAAGGACCGGCGCTCCGGAGAATGGAAGCCGGAAGGGTTCTCCTCCGCCATCGCCGCGGCGCCACGCCGGCGGAGTAAAGGAAGCGAAAGAGAGCGAGGGCGCGGAGGAAGTGTTGGATCGCAGCATTTCGGTTGGCGTTCGGAGTCGCCACGGCGGCGGCGCCGGAAGAGAGAGAGAGGGAGGCAGTGGCTCTGAGGAGTATTTTAGATTAACATGATACGGCGAAGACGGGAGAGGGGAATGGGCATGGTGAGGGAGGGACCACTCGAGTTTCTAATAGGCGACAGAGGTTATGGTATACCGCGGAGGAGTAAATGGTTCGCAGGGCAGTCACGCGGGTTTACGTGATCCTGTCGATGAACCGGTCGAACCGGACCGGGTTTGTAGTGGAGTGGTGATCAAAACCCAAAAACTATACGTATTTACGATACAAATAATTGATTGACTTTTCATTTGCATCGATTAAGAAGAATAACAGCGATACATATTATTTTTATTCTGCGAATATAATAATATTTTTTCTTAATGATTATTAATATTCTTCACTCTGTGTGCAAGAAAGTTGAAGTTTAATGATGAAAAACAAGCATCAAGATTCTATCACTAGCAGTAACAGAAATCATACTATAATCAAGAATAAATAAATAAATAAATAAATATTGTAAGAATCATCATCTTATAAAAATAAAGAGCTATTTTATAAGATTATTCTGTAAGCTTATCTTCTTAGAAGATGGCAAAATATAATGTATTAAATCATCTTTATTTTCTTTTAATTTATTTTTTTCTTGTATTTATGGCATATATATAAAAAGGATAAGAATTATAATCGATCATCAATCTTTAAATGAATAATATTATTATTTTTCATAAAATATACGAGTAGTGAGAGATGATAATTTTTCCTAATATAAATCAGAGACTTCGAGCGAGTCCACTTTTATCATTTTAATATGATATTTATTTTTTTACTTAAATTAATATTTTTTTCAAATATTTCCTCTCTATGTTTTAATTTTTATTTATTTATTATCATCTCCAACTGAATCTCTCACATTAAACATTTTCTTAGGGTTATCCTACATCACATAATTAATATAAAAATATGTTAGAAAAGAATAGTAGAAAAAGAAAGACATGACATGACATCAACATCAATTGTCTCCAAAATGGATCTTCCAGTGATGAGCCAAATGAAACCTGACCTACTTGTTCCAATCATTCAAATCATCCATTTCAATCCTTTCACATCACTATCATCAATGATCACATCCCAGTTGTTCCCAGCTTCCACATGCAGCAATGCCGAACCATCGGAAGAAGAAGAATGTGCTCACCGACACCATAAGCTTCCACAGACATGGAGAAGAACTCCAGCAACGTCAGATCTGAAACCAAATCGCACTACAGGGACTTCAAATTCCCAGCCAAGCAAACTGAGCTGCAAGAACACAGCCAATAGCCCTTCTCTCATGCTCTGTGGCTCCATAAGATTCTTCTTCCCCAGGCAGTTCTCTTCGCAAAAGACGCTCACCCTTTCTGCTTTGCCCCATGTTCACGTGTGCTGTGGGGGGGGAGCAGACACTCACACTGTCCTCGGAAGCCATGGAGGAGGAGCAGTTATGGTACACGGAGAATGGCTGTTCTGAGCAAGATGCCAATTGCCCGGCGACAACCGGTCCACATTGATGACTCAGGTTTTAACTACATGCTTACATAGTAGAACACCACCCGTTCTCGTAACAACATCACGATCTCATCATCGACGCCGACTCACTCGCCACCGTAAAGACGATGACAACCACTAGAAGACATTTCATGAACCATTCATTATTGACCGACTCTAATCACCTGAGGTGAAACTGGAGCTGGAGAACAAAGGAGATCGAAGTTGACCCATCAAAATAAGAGAGTCAGATCCAGAAATTCTCCTCTCTCAGCTACCAGGGCAAGTAATCTCTTTTCTTTACAGGTAAATCTTCTAAATCTGATTAGAATCTTTCAAATACAACAAAGAGTCAACTATAGCTTGATTGACTGAGTCATGAATCATCAAAATGAATCTATCCATAGTCACATGAAGAACATTTCTTCACACACCACACATGACTGCACTATCTAAAAATTACCCACCCATCTGCTCTGCATGAACTACAACAGTTCTTTTTCAGTTGGTGGTGGGGTGCACATGCATCAGGCTGACTTTGTACAGTGCCATGAGCTTCTTGTGAAAGAGATGAAGTAAAACCTCAGCAACAGAGGGCCTAAACAATTCCTTCTTCTTTGTTTCCAGATCTGCTGATCCTTCACCATGTAGCAGCAGTAAAGGTAGGTTCATTTCAAATGTCTCTTCTCAGAAGTTCCACTTGCAGACGTCAAAGTCAATACTTCTTTCCCAGGAAGACCATGCCCATCACCAGCTCTTTGTTCCCAAGGAAGAAATGGGACAAAGAGCCCTCTCCGCGCTCCTCATCTCCATGCTAATCTTCTCCTTTTCCCCTTGTTCCGATGGCCAGCAGCAATGTGCCTTCACTGGTGCAGGCTCAGCTCAGGTCAGAGCTGGCTACTGGTTCTCCCTGTACAGCCATGACTTCCCTGTTTCGAGCATCGACGCATCCCTCTACACTCATCTCTACTACTACTCCCTCCCCCTCTCCTATGATGAAGCCAACGCCGGCGTCTCGGTCTTGCCTCATGACCAGCTCCCTCTCCTCGGCATTTTCTCGAACAGCCTCAAGTCAAGTAGCCCTTCCCTCAGAACCCTGTTATCCATCGCAACCGATGATCACCAAGCTAATGACTCAAACGCCGCTTTCTCCGCCATGGCAGCGGATCCAGTGCTTCGAGCAGCCTTCATTAACTCCACCTTAGAATTAGCCAGAGCAAACAGATTCGACGGGTTAGACTTGGCATGGCAGTTCCCGAGCTCGCCATCGGACATGACCAACCTCGGAATCCTGCTCGACGAATGGCGAGCTCGGATCGGCGAAGAAGCTCGGAATTCCTCATCGGCTCTCCTTCTGACCGCCACAGTGTACTTCTCGAACCACCTGTTTGATGAAGCCACTGACAACCTCGACTACCCGACGGATGCAATCTCAAGAAACCTGGATTGGATCAATGCTCTCTGTTTCGGCTACCACAAGAACAGCAATGTCACTGCCCACGGTGCTGCGCTCTTCGACAAGACCTCCCACTTCTCCACCAGCTATGGGATCACCTCGTGGTTGGACGCAGGCATCCCTGCGAGCAAGCTGGTGATGGGTGTGCCACTGCAAGGCAGATCTTGGTTTCTCAGGAACAAGATCAAGAACAAGGCAGGTGATCCGGTGGTGGCTGCAGGACCCAGGCAGAAGATGAGCGACCGAATTGGCGTGATGGCCTACTCAGAGATCGAGGAGCTCATGAAGGATCCACGCTCTGGTTTTGTGTATGACAGCCAGACTGTGAGTTCCTACCTCCACTCCGGAGATCTGTGGGTGAGCTTTGACAGTCCTGAAGTTGCGGAAGACAAGATCAGATTTGCTCAACACAACACTTTGTTGGGATACTTTCTCTGGCCAATCAATTTTGATGATTCAAACCGCACAATATCCAAACAAGGTATGTGTTTGCTTGGATTCTGCAATCAGGAACATCATCTCATGATTTCTATTTCATTCTGGCACAACTGATCCGATTCTGGATGCAGCTTCCGATGCCTGGCTCAGAAACTATGATTCTTCCTGCTACAGAGATGAAGATGGCTTCAAACAGGCACCATCTCCTTCTGTAGCACCACAGGAAGATGCAGCAGCACCATTAGCAGCCATTTCTGGATCAGCACAAAGGTCCGCAAAGATTGATTCCTGTCATCTGGCTCTGTATCTTTTGCTGTGTTTTCTGTTCATTTGACGACAGTGTGTGCAGCCAAACACTGTAAAGAGAGAAAACCTACAAGATTCTTTTAGCAGAGGCCTCCAGAGCTGCTTCCACACTTCAATTGTCACTCCAAAATTGGACCTTCGCTGTCGCATCTTTGTCGATCATCTAATAGAATCGAACATGACTTCCAATCAACATTCCAAGCCAGAAGAATCGCATCGCAGAAGATCGACATCGTGGTACGGTCAATTTTGATCGTCAATCCGACATCGCAAAATTTATTTGATATGTTATTTTCTGGGTGTTCTCTCGCGTTTTGGAAGACCAAAAGAAAAGCTCGATTGATCGAAAAAAATCATGCAACTAAAGGCCGGAGAATATTGACATCACAATGGTCAATTTTGATCGTCAAGTTGATTTGATCTGTTGAGGAAAAGAAGCTCGATCGATCGATCGATCGATCGATCGAAAAAAATATATATGTTAAACGAAGGCCAGAGAATGAATCCACAGAACACACAATGCATAATCCAACCAGACTATCAATCCTTTATAAGGTTCTCTACCGTGTGTCCCAACTCACCGACCAGGCTCCCAGAAAGCCCAGAACTGGAGTCGATTCACGCGGCGAACGTTGAAGGAGAAGAGCATGGCCGCGAAATCGGCCCAAGAGGAGAGCTTTTCCTTCCCCCGCGGTTCGAACGCCAAGCAATCGAAGAAGCGTGTATGAATCTGATGCCTCCGAATAACCAGAGGAAGTCTCAATGATGAATAAATGTGGTTGCGTCCAAGGTGTTTGTGGATGTGTCGACAAGAACTTTGTCGTCTTAGAAGGTTGGCTGGAACGATTGGGATATTGGCTTTGTTGTTGCTGTTATTGCGATCTAAATGTGATGATGGAATTGATGTTCTGACGCACATGAAGAGTATAATCAGATTCGGGAGGAGACGGTGAGATCTCCAGGTGTGTTCGCAAGCTGCAGCTCAACTCGTCTGAGAAACTCTCGGTCGAGTCTGGAACTGGTAGCACCGAGTCATGGACCTCGCCCGAGTCTGAAACCACCTGATTTATGTGAAGTCGCATGGGGGTACGGTCACCAAGATGAGCGTGGTTTTTAGCAGCACCCCGTCCTTTGAAGAATAGCTAGGGCATCAGCGGTGAGCCTTCCACCTCTCCGCCGCGCCGTGCACCGCTGGTTCCAGTACCGAAGGCGTGACCGCCGCGGCGGAGCGGGGGCCAGGGGCAACGGAGAGGAGCGGTAAAGAAGGAATCTTAAAGGTGGAATCCCTGCATGATCGGCGAGCGCTGAGTTAACTATCTTAGTGCTGTTCTTGAAAAGCCTCTCTCCTGCGACAATGTGTTCGACTGGTAGAATCATTTTGTTAGTTTTTGGGAAGGGCCGTTTCCGCTTCAAAGATTTGAGCTTTCGTTTTGTTGTCTTTCTTAACGCTTAATCGCTCTGTGGTTTTTGTCATCATCGCCCGAGTGATGAACAAAGATCGTATCTTTTTCGTGTTGTTGGATCGTTGTCCAGTTTGTCATATTGTTGTCCTGTCACTAACGATGGAGACTTGCATCCGTCATTGGTTTAGTTCAGTTTGGATTGGCGATTGATTCTAAGGAGATTATGATCTTTTGTGCAGGTGTATAGGTTTTCTTACAACTTCTGTTTCTTGAGGGGCAGATGAATCTGGAGGTGGTTATCCTGAGAGAAGACACAGAAAAAAATAAAGAAAAAACAAGCAAAAAGAATCCCGACGATACAAAAGGTAAAATGCCATAAATAGAGAGGAGGCAGAGTTTTTATCGTTTAGCATACTGATTGCTTTTTCTTATTTTCTATAATTATTTATTCTTGTTGCTTCTTGGTTTGGCTTTTCTGCTGAATCATTTGTCAGTTATCCTAGGGTATGAATTATGACAAGTTTTTAGATTTATGTAAGTTTTATGTCTCAATATTTGGTCTTACTGTGTAATTCTGGATCTGGATAAAAGTTAAACATATATATGAAATCTCAATTGAGCGTTTAACTAGATTAGGCTCAGTTGACCTTTTAGATGAAGCCAGGTTCTCAGGTTGTCAAAGTATGGATTATTTAATGATAAAGAGTATGAAACCTTCATCAGGTGAATTCATTATGTGTTACTTAATGAAACTATAATATAGGTAACAGAATCGAGGGAAAGCAAGACAGCCATTTTAGATGACCAATGAGTTTAGTATTTAAAAGGTTAGAACCTATTTTCCTCATAAGCAGATTTAATAGAAATATGAGCAAAAAAGAAAGCCTACACAAATTTTGTAATGACATGGAGAACCCTTGATGAGGAACAAAATAGGTGCTTCAGTGGGTTAAGAAGGAAGATATAAATAAATATTAATATGTGAATTTACTTTGGTTATGAAGATATGGTCATTATTATTTAGAGTTTTCATAGAATGCTGAAAAATATACATTTTTACAATTGTCAAATTGTTATAGATCAGCATTCAAATCCAGGATTTTATCATTTGATAGTCTGGATTTTAGTGTATTGTGTATTGTTTTCCATAATAGTATTGATCAATTAGAACATGATGGCAAGATCTCCTTTCGATATCAGGATTAAGTAGGAAGGTATTGGAGGAGAATAGAGTACTTCATCAAGAAGATTGAAGTGAATTAGTTCTCAATCAGGTATTACAGACACAAGATAGCAAAGAACTTATGGATTGTGCACAGTATAGCTCAGAGGAACTGAGCAGTTACCATTTATATGGTTAATGGAACTTGTATAATGAAACTTAGAGATGCACAGAGGTATTAATTTTAGTGATGATACCTGTGCATCTTTATAGAAGAGAACCTACAATCTTTCTTGGTGCAAGGTGTTGATCATGAAGAGTGAAGACCAAAGAAATCTCATAGCAGCAGACATCTATCGCTTTTGGCTTCTATAAATTCACTGCAGATATAATTTGGCAGCCACAAACTTAATGACCAAAACTGGTCTATGGTCTGCTTCCCCTTCTCAAAAGATGACAAACTCTTGGAACAGTCCAGCATTGCTAACATGCATCAGTGCTGGTTTTCATGGCTACCTTGATTGTATACACTGGAAAAAAATAATATTTTTTAACTGCTCTACTGCTTAACTTTGCTAATGTGCATCAGAGATGCCAATATCTTTTAACTGCTCTACTGCTTAACTTTGATGATCATAGCAGCACAGCAACTAGGGAGCAATTTGGCTGAGGGCAAACCCTCTATTATTACTAATTGTTAGTCATTTTATCTTGCTGTGTCGAAGTTTGTCACACCCATAATTTAATTTCTGAAATTATAAAATCATGTGACGGTATCCATAGGTGAGTTCGCTAGCAAATTTTGCATGATTCTCAAAAGCTACCTCATCCTGTGGATTGATGGTAATTTATATGGTCTATTGAACCGTTTTAGGGGTGGCAAGCTGCTATGTTTTCAAGAGTCGCTTGCAAGAGTATGCACAAAAAGTAGGCATTCCTACACCTGTGTATCAGACCCTCAAGGAAGGTCCTTCCCATGAGCCTGTTTTCAAGTCAACGGTTATTGTTAATAATACTAGATATGATTCTCTTCCTGGTTTTTTCAACCGCAAGGCTGCAGAACAGTCTGCTGCTGAGATTGCACTCATGGAAATTCACAAGTCTGGCCTGATGACTGAAAATATGCCTACAGTTGTATTCTCCTTTTACCTTATAATTTTAAGTTAGTTTATTTAGAAAATATTATGACTCAAAATAAACAAGCAAATGATGCTACATCCTGGATTAAGTATTCTATTTTATTTATTATTATGGCTTTTTAATGTGTAAGATATTTAAGTATGATTCTTTGCATGGATAACAATAGCTTAAAATGAGTTTTAGTTTTTGTTTGGGTCTTCCTTGCCAACATTTAGTACTAAACACATAATGTGGAAACTTTTGTTCTTAATAGTTTGTTATATTGCAGTTGCTAGTGTTGTATTGTACATCCAAAAAACTTGTTTGTCTCTCCCACAACCTGGGTTAGAGTTAAGAGTTGTGGCCAAAATAACTTCTTTCCTGCAGTAAAAATACCTAAATGATTTATAATGAATGCCACGAATCAAAATAATGTACTAATTAAAGTTATGCCTTGTGTACCCTGGACTTGCGTTCTTACCACCTCTCAGAAGGTTCCACGTCCACATCATTGTCAAAAGAACTCTAACCCAAAATTTAAAATTTACACACAAAATAGCATGCATGAGATGGAATTTAAATAACATTATTATAAAAAAAAGGAAGATTTGCAATAGAGGAACAAGGCTAGGCTAAAACAGGATGTCATAAAAATAAAAGAGACGAAGGTTGCAACAATGGGCAATCCATCATTCGAAGTATAGCCTTTGTATTGATTAAAATTCATACTGTTGCCTGTATTTATTAATAGACTGAATATAAACTTCCAGGAACTTTACTAAAATCAATTGTGATTGCATCTGTTCCAGTCAATCGACTCATAATCATTGCACATTAGAACTGTCAGTATTGACACATGGAGTGATCCTTTTAGAGGTGGTTGATTGATAGAGAATTGGGATTTATGAATAACCAGTACCTGTAAAAAGAATACTATAACCTGATGTTGAGCTTTCTAAAATAAGAATTTATCTGAATACTAGAAAGTAAGAACAACAGAAGAATCCCAAACCTATTATTGGCCTGATCTGGCATAATCTGAGATAAAGCCGACCAATATTTGGACTTGATCAAGTTGCACTCCTTCTCCTATTGTCGATAATTTATCTCAACTTTGAAGACAAATAACTGTGATCAAAATTATCGATGGTGTGAACGTGCATTATGACACTGGTGATCTATTCGAGCCTAAGCTTGAGGAACAAGACAAAAACACTTACCTCAACTAAATGAGGCACACTTAGAATGACAATTACTGAAGATGTTATTTAAAAAATTAAATCAAGCAATGAATTATTAATTTATTACTTAATAGTATTTAAATAGCTAAACATTTATTCTTGCTTATTAGCTTAAAGCCTCAAATGTTTGAGCCTTGTGTACATTGTGGAATGAATGTATATGAAATTGAGGTTCGAGAAGGAAAAGAAGTTCCTGTGACAATGTCATAGCGAAAACAAAAAGTAGCTGCAATAATGCAACAAAAAAGCATGGCAAAAATAATGAAGAGGAACTAAGAATAGAGCAATATAAATACAATGAAGAAACTGATCAATACATAACAGTAAAATTGATTTAAAAAAAAGGAACAAAAATTAAAAAGGGACAATAAAGCAGCAAAAACTTTATAAGATTAATTCTTTTCTTCCACAAACAGAATTGATGAGAGTTTCTCCCTTCATAATTTTCATCTGTACTTCATTGAAAAACATCATAGAATATACAACGAAACAACAGACAGCATGTGATTACCTTTATACAAGACATCCTATATGTCTTGTTGAAGCCGCTGAACCTCAGTTCTGGTGAGGTGCAAGATGAGAGTCTTGGAGACCTTAAGTGCACCCTAGATATGCCCTTAGCAATGCCGGTTATGGTTAAACTAGCTGATGGGTAAGTTCAAGTAATCTTGTATGGTTAGCTCTTCTATCCTACTTGTTCAACAGGTAAGCTACATGCTCAGAATGGATCATGGTATGGTTCTTTGTGGTTCATCCTGCATTGTTCTGTGTTCCATAGGAGCATTCAAGAGCTTCATATTTAATGATTTCTGTAAACTTTGAATTTTGATTGAATCCAACTTATCCAGCAAAACTTGGAACCCTAAGTTGTTATTTGTAGTTTTTGCCTGTCATTCTTACGTTAAATATTGCATGATTCGATAAATAAAAACTGTATGCGACCTGCTCTCTTTGTATTTTAGGTGCATTCATGGGCTTTATATTAAATGTTGTGTGAATAGTGCTCAATTCCGTGACTTATACATCAAACTTTTGGATTTTGGATGGCTTTTATAGTTTTTAACCCACATCGCTTACATTAAAGATCACATGATTTGGTAATTAGAAATCCTATGCAACTTGTTTCAATAGTGAGGGGGGAAGTTGTATAAGGATAATCATTTTATGCTAATTCCTTATCATGTTATCAAGATTCTTGTAGTTTAAGTAATCTCTTTTTTTTAAAAAAAAATTGGGCTATTTTCTCCGGCACGAAACCGGCCTATGCAAGAATCTACTTCAAGAGTATGCACAGAAAATGAACTATGCAATCCCATCCGATATATGCACCAAAAATTCCTCTGGAGCAACTCCTTTTACATGTACGGTTGAGATTGGTGGAATTCAATACATAGGAGCTGCAGCAAGGACAAAAAAGGAAGCTGAGATAAAAGCAGCAAGGACAGCTCTTTTAGCGATACAGAGTAGGGCAATCATATCATTATGCAGATCGATCTAAATAGATGGTTGCTCTTCTTTTTTTTTTTCCAGTTATTTTGCATTACTAATCTTTCCCTGTGCAGGTCAGTCTCAGGGGGGGCATAGGTGGTGCCTTGCAGTACACTGTCCTTCCAGGCAAAAGGAAGGTGAAGGAGCCAGAGCTGCCAGCTGAAGCAGTGAAAAAGATTAAACCCAAGAAGGCCAACTTTAAGAAGTGGTCGAAAAAGCGGTTCCAACGAAGTAAAGACAATCAAGTAGTCCAGTCAACCAAAAATGAAACTGAGGTTTATATGCTAGAAGATGCTTCAAGGGTGCCCAGCAGTGCTATCCAAATCGAGGAGGCTGCTCATGATTCTTGAGGTGAGCATGATCAGTCCAAATCTGGAGACCTGAGCTCGTAGTTGACTGTAGAAACAAGTGGATAATTGGATGTGAATGGTGAAATTTAGAGCTTTGTTGAGATTGGTAGTCTGTAAATTTAGGTCTCGACACACCATAGAGTTACAAAAATCACTTGTGTGAGACTAGTTTAGAGTCAGCATAGAAGAACAGGTTCTGGTTGGATGTTATTTTCAGTCTACAAAGTACTGGGCAGTCTCTCTGTTGGCCATTATTTCTTGTTCTTCAATCTATTATAGTTTACTGTCCAAAAGTAGGTTTCAGGGAACTACTTGTGACAAATTACTCATTTGGATTAATATGATCATGTGTGAGAGGAATTAGTTAGCTGAATCCACTGGATGTGTTATGCTCTTTCTTTGTTTGCTTCTTTTTTTGTTTGTCATCACAGAATAATAAGCAAGTCAATTGCATTGCAAGTATGGCATCAACTTGTACATGTGAATCTAATGCTGGAAAAGATAGTTCTGCTTTTGTTCTGTTGTGTGAATATAGGGATTATCCATATTTCATATATTTGCAGTGTGATTCTGAAGAGTGTAACAGAGTGATGAGATAACTATTATTCAAATTAACTTACATTCTAATAATATAGGGATACAAATATTTAAATAGTGAAACTATAATTTTTTTTTAATGAATACCTGTATTCAAATTTTACTTTTTTAGCAACTTTGTGAAAACAAATGTATCAAGGTTCACTTACCAGAGTAACAACATAAATATTATCCATTTTACTAAATATTTTCACCATAGAGAGGAAACAACATTGTAATAATGAATATATATATTTTATATTCTTGTATGAATTCAAGGATATTTGTATTAAGAGTCTACATTTTTAGCGAGTGTAATGAGAATTATATAATATTTTAAAAATATTATCCATTTTACCCTGTGCAAATAACATAAGAGTAGTGAATTTATAGTTTTTGTTATTTCTTTATAAATATAAAAATATTTATATTTAAGTTTAATATTTTTTAGGTATGATTATGTGATACAGTGTAATGTGTATGAATATAATGAAGATGAGAAATAGGCCATGAGGAAGGAATTAAGATCACATATGATGCTGAAGTTATTGGTGAAGGGGGGAGAGAGAGAGAGAGAGAGAGAGATGAGAATGACAAAATAACTAAAAATAATTTATAAAAGATGAATCCAACAATTGCATCAGTTCATTAAAAAGATGAATCCCCTTCCTTTTCATCTAAAATGATAATTTTGAGTTTTAGTTTCAAGTGTATATGATAATTTCACAATTAAAAATAAATAAATAAATAAATAAAGGGATCTAACAAGTGGCTGTACCCCATAGAGGGTCCGTACTTGTGGAATTGAAGTCGCTCCAAGCCGAGATAGACTGCCGAGACATCACCCGCTAAGAGTTCTTCCACTCACCCTCCTGAAACGCCTCCGGAACCTCCTCCCCCTCCGCCTGGTGACCCCTCCGAAGCTCCTCTCTCATGGGCGGCACAGCTTCCTGAAAGCCAAATGCAGCTATCCAGAGAAGATCCAACGCATTCCGGGCAGTTCTGAGGAGGTTGATGCCGCTTGGCAGACTTGGAAGACAACCCATCCATTAAGCTCGGCCCTTCCAAACTTCGGCCGTCGAAGAAGCTGCTGGTCCATATCATAGACATGACCGATCCATGTTATAGACATGACGATGACTTGTTTTGGTTTAAGACGAGATGCTAATAGGAGGTCAAACCTCGAGCTCGATTCGATTCCTGGGAAGGAGATATTATTTGATTCATAGTTATCTAGTTATCATGATCTAGTAGTTACAGGGTGATTTCAATAACTACCTCATGATATTATTTGAGAATATCTTATAAGTGTTCTTGTCAATCTTCCTGTTTTAAATACTACATTAGTTTTTTTGAATCGAAAGGATTCATTTTATTCATATCGTAGTATTTTATTTTTTCCTTGCTCTTCCATGCCCAACATTTGTGGTATCAGAGCCTAGTTTCAATCTGAATTGTGCATTATGACTTTTAATGACAATTCTATGTCTCAACCCCTTATCCCCATCTTCTCGAGTAAAAGTTATGAATTTTGGAGTTCTATTCAAGTCTCAAGATCTTTGGGACTTAATAGAGAATGGATATGCGAATCCGGACGACGAAATCAGGTTGAGGGAGAATAGAAAGAAGGACTCAAACGCATTGTTCTTCATTCAACAAGCTGTAGATGAGATAATCTTCTCAAGAATTTTAAGGCTCATCAAGGGTGATTATGGTAAAACTTTAAACCCTTCGTCGTGAGTTTGAAATTTTATTCATAAATAGCAATGAATTGGTGCAAGATTTTATTTCTCGAGTGACTAAAATTGCTAGTCAAATGAAATCTTATGGTGAACATCTTCCTAATCATATAATTGTTGTAAAAGTTTTAAGAAGTTTAACTCCGAAATTTAATCATGTTGTTACCGTAATTAAGGAGTCAAAAGATTTATCTACATATTCATTTGATGAACTAATGAGTTCCTTACAAGCACATGAAGTAAGGTTGAACAGGTCACTTGAAAAAAATAGGGAGTCTTCTACTTCAAAAGAAGATAAAAAATCAGTAGGAAGAGGATGTGGCAGAGGAGAATTTCGTGGTAGAGGCAGAGGACACTTTGATGGGCATGATAAACAAAGACAATCAAATTATGATAAAAAAAATTACAAGAGTGGAATTCAATGTCACTATTGTAAAAAGTTTGGTCACATGAAGGCAGATTGCTGGAAAAGAGAAAAGCAAGCAAGCTATGTGGAGGAAAATGAAGAAAATAGTAAGTTGTTTATGACTCATTCACAAGTTTATAATATCTCAAATGATATTTGGTTTCTGGATAGTGGATGTTCTAATATATGTCAAGCATAAAATTAATATTTAGAGATATTGATGAAACTCACAAGTTGAATGTTAGACTTAGAGATAACAAGCAAATCCAAGTGGAGGGGAAAGAAATAATTGAGGTGAAGACAAATTAAGGAAAGGTAAAATACCTTGATAATGTTTTCTTTGTTCCACTTTATCACATAACTTGTTGAGTGTTGGACAATTGATAGATGATAGATATTTAATAATATTTGATGATGGTTCATGCATTATTAAAGATAAAAATATTTAAGATATGGACACTTTAACATTAAGGGTTTAAGATTGTTAAGTCAAAAAAGAATGATTTTCGGATTGTCCAAGATTAATACACTTGATGTATGTGAAGGATGTATTTATGACAAACAAAGTAAAAAACTATTTTCTATTAGAAAAGCATGGAGAGCATCTAATTGTTTTGAATTAATTCATGTTGACTTATGTGGACCTATGAATATAAAATCATTTGGCGGAAGTCAATATTTTTTATTGTTTACAGATGATTATAGTCGCATGAGTTGGGTATATTTTCTGAAATTGAAATCTGAAACATTTGATAATTTTTGAAAATTCAAGGTACGTGTAGAAAGACAAAGTGGTAGACACATCAAGACACTTCAGACAGATAGAGATAGTAAATTTTTATCTAATGAGTTTAATTTTTTTTGTGAAGAAAATGATATTCACAAAGAATTGACAATACCATATACACCGGAGCAAAATGATGTAGTTGAACATAAAAATCGGACTGTCGTTGAAATGGCAAGAAGTTTGCTTTAAGGAAAACAAATTCCAAATCAGTTTTGGGTAGAAGCAATTGCAACAACAGTTTATTTGTTGAATATTTCACTAACAAAGATTGTTATGAATCAAACTCGCTTGGTATGATATAGAACCAAGTGTAAGACATCTAAGAATTTCATCACAAATTTGATGAAAAATATGAAAAATATATCTTAATTCATCGTCAACCACACCCAATAGCAGTTCAAATTCTGATTCCTCGTATAAAACCTCTCCAAAAAAATTTCAGATGGTTAACCGAAATTTATGACTTAACATTTGAAAAAAAGGAAGTGAGAAAACCGAGCAAATCGAATTTATTTTTAATTAAATTAAATTTTGTTAATATGGGAGAGAGAGAAAGATAAGTTTGCATCCTGAAAAGAGCAAAAACGACCCTTTGTGCCGAAGTGTAGCATACAAAAAAGACCTCATGCTTTTGTTTCGGTCGGCCACAAACTAGAAGGATGCCCTGATAAGCCGTCGTCGACTCCTAAGACCGGAGCAGCCTCGGCGGCCATCGCTGCAGTGTCTCCTAAACCAAAACCACCCTCCCTCAAGTGCCTACAACGAGGAAGAACTGTACGGTGGTCCAAAAACGAGGTAAGCCTAGGCCTAGAAAGGTCAATCCCAAGAACCAAGTACTCATCACTTTTCCTATACCTGGTTTGGAGCGCGCAGATCGTGCTCGTTCCGGCAACGATCGAGGCGCCCATGCCTCAACGAGGGATGGTGGTGGGGACTATGGAAACCGCGACATCTTCCACGGCGACGGGAGGAAGCTGCAGCTATACGGCGAGTAACTCCCATACGAGGAAGAACCCGAATGGTAAGAATTCTCCCAGAAAGATGGACCAAAATCCCATCGTATACCTCTTCAGGGAATTCGCCCCAACTCAACCCTTTTCTTGAAACATAGGAACAAGACAGGGGATCACCCATCCTGGAACCATACATGTCTGATCATTGTATGTTGGCCATAATGCTGAAAAAATT